GAGCAGTTCATCTTACAGTCCAGAAACAAAGAACCCTATGACCATCAAGGGAGAAGAGCACAAGCAGAATGTGGGACCTTATCCAGAGAAGCAGCGGTGCCAGACACGGAGGCAGAGATGGGGACATGGAGAGGGGTTGCAGCTGAGGATTCTAGATTCATGGGAAGAGGGACTAAGAGCTGGTGATGCTGTTTTCTCGTATATAATGTAAAGTTTGCAACTAAATAATGTTTCCCTTCTTGCTTCAGCAGCCAGGAAGCTCAGGGCTAATTTTGTAACTTAATTTTTTTTAAATATCCAGATAATTTTTCCCCACATAAATAAATTTTACGTATTTTTATATTTTCCAGGCCTGACTTTTTTTTCTTTATTATTTTATGTACTCACATAAGCTTTTTCAAATGCTTTGTAAAATTAGATAGGGTGTAAGTGTATAAAAATAAATCTTCCCCCACCCTAATTGTTTGGGTCACCCTTGCAGCCCTTTGTAATAAATCTTCCAGGTTGCTGAGCTCTCATGTTGTCTAGATTTAAGTCAGAGAAACTCTTAGAACTTATGAAAACTAGACAATAAACTTCAACACTCACGTAACTCATTAAAGCAGGATGAAAGTGGAGCTTCAAAACATGTTTGGTGTTTGCCACCAAGTCTGTGAAATGGGGGGGGTCCCTTTAATTCAAAGTATAAAAGTCTCATCTTTCAGGACTGAGACTGCACCACTGAAATTAAAGTCTTGTTTGTGTATATGAGTACTCCAAGTATGTTCAAAGAAGGATTGAGGTGTTGACTGTACAAGGAAGGGTGCTTTTTTTTTTTGTAAGTCAAGCATATCATTTTCTTGACTCATAAAATGTAGTTTGGTCAAGGCAAACTTCTTTATCAAACGGCATAAGCATGAAATTGACTGAATGGTAAATCTTATTTTTGATCATTCCTGGTCTTAAATAATTATCTTTAAACTAAAACTTGCTGTTGGTTAAGATGACTGTGTTAATGGTGCTCAGATTGTGTCTGAGACACTGTAGAGGTGCCTGGGACATGGGGGCAGGAGAAGGCCACCTAGCAGGTGAGTGCAGACACACACCCCCACCAGCCCACACCAACTCCCACCAGAGTAGCTAAGCAATGCTTTCTATAGCAGAGTTCCTTCTGCATAAGGTTTTCTAATGAACAAAGAGTTCTGCTCCTAACGGTTAAAAAAAAAGTTTAGAAACTGTTTCATCGGCGGTCAAGACCTACCAATTTGCTGTTTGGGTATGACTGTGGTCCTACAAGAAGCTCTGGTAGCGTAGTGGTTACGAATCGGGCTACGAACCTTAAGGTCAGAAGTTCGAAACTGCCAGCTGTTCCGTGGGAGAAAGATGAGGCTTTCTGCTCCGGTAAAGATTTGCAACCTCGGAAACCCTATACAGGGTCGCTATGGGTCGGAACCGACTCCACGGCACATAACCACCACCACCACCATGGTCCTACAGATGGGGTATAGAGTTTGGAATCTTGTGTTCAGGTCCCAACTGTGCCTTCTACCATCTGTGTGACTTTGGGTGGAAACTCTTCCTCTCTGAAAGAGCTCCCCTGTCCATAGAATAGAATGGTGTTGATGTTCACTTTACCAGATACATGAGGATGAGGTAAAATAGCAGATGTAGAAGTGTTGCTTAAAGGATCAAGCCGTTTAAGAAGTGATCTATGTCACCCCATACCTCTGACCCTCTTCTCCCATCTCTCTTTCCCAGGAGGAGCCCATCACCTTCTCTGAGGAAGCCTTTGTGTCCCACTACCGCTCAGGGGCCATGAGGCAGTTCCTGCAGAATGCCACTCAGCTGCAGCTCTTCAAACAGGTACGTGTCTCATTGGATCCCTGACAGGAATAAGGCCGCAGGCTTGGACCAGACCAGTACCCCAACTTAGGGCCTTAGGAAAAGGGGATGGAGGAGGAAGATGGTCAGTGGCCAGAAGACACATGTAGTTATACAAATCTAATAAATGCACAGCAGTTTCTTAGAAATTTGTTTGTTGAAACTTACTTTCTGAAAACTCACAGTTCAAAGGACCTCTCTCATTTTCTCAACTTGGAAAATGTGGTGGTTCTTTGATCATGCACTAAGATGTCTAGATGAATTTTTTTTTTTTTCCCCATCTTGTTTCTCTGTACAGACTATTGTGCTTTGTCTTTCTCTCTAGTTTATTGATGGCCGATTAGACCTTCTCAATTCTGGTGAAGGTTTCAGTGATGTTTTTGAAGAGGAGATCAATATGGGCGAGTATGCTGGTGAGACATGTTTCATTTCATTTTCTTTCTGGACTGGGGCTCCCATGGATTAGGGTATTTGGCAGGGAGTGCCAGCAATATCTCCCTTCATTTTTTGGGAGTTAGGGAAAGACTGTTTTCAGCCTTGGCCGTGATCTCTGATAAGTTGTACATGGGTTCATGTGAAATCCTCTGTCATGGGTTAAACAGTGTCCCGCAGGATGTAGTGGAGAGTACATAAGACAATGACTTTGGAGACCTGGATTCTGATCAGAACTCTGCCTCCTTACTAGCTGTGATACCTTGGTCAAGTCATTGCACTTCATTTAGGTGAAGTTTTCCTATCTATGCACCAAGAGCGGCGTTGCCTATTTCACAGGATTCCTGTTGAGGTCAAATTGGAGTCTAAGAGCAAAGGTTTGTGCAGGCGCCCAGGACAAACCTCAGCACAGTCAGCAAGTGCTTCTCTGTAGAACCAGAGGGACCGTCTCTCACTTTCTAGAGGAGGCATCTGAGGTCCAGAGATGTTTAGTAGTTAACTTGACTCCTGTATAAAGCAAAGTAGAACTGCCCCATAGGGTTTTCAAGGTTGTGATCTTGTCAGAAGCAAACTGCCTCATCTTTCTCTTCAGGAGCAGCTGGTAGATTCAAACCATCAGTCAGCAGTCAAGCACTTTAGTGACTGTGACACCAGGGCTCCTTGCTGGTAGCGTCTGAGCTTCATTCTAACAGTTGAATATGCATCTGGGGAGAAGATGGGCTTTATGTGATAAAAATGGTTAGCATGCTCAACTACTAACAGAAAGTGAGAGGTTCAAGTCCATTTAGAGTTATCTTGGAAGAAAGGCTCAGTGATCTACAGTCAGTCTCTGGGTTACAAATGAAATCTGTTCCTGCATCTCTAAGAATGTATAGGTGAGTTAGAATGGATCTTGTTTAGCCTCCTTTAGTGCCAGAAACGAACCCTCGTGGTATAGTGGTTATGGTTTTAAGATCAGCAGTTTGATTCCATCAGTCACTTTGCTGGAGAAAGAAGAGACTTTCTGCTCCCATAAAGATTTACAGCCTCAGAACCCCTACATAGGATTGCTATGAGTCAGCATCACCTCAGTGGCAGTGGTAATGTTTTTTTGGAGTTAGTGCCAAAAAAGACCCCAAGCCTTTTCTTTGATTCACAAGCTACACTGCAGCAAGTGAAGGTGATTGTATTGAAGGATTTGTTGCATATTGGTGGGTTCAGTCACTTCAGAGTGAGGGCAAATTTACATAACATTAAAGGGCCAGTAGGAATTGTCCATAAGTCATCATTTCATAACCCGGGGACTGCCTGTACATTTGAAAAATCAACCATTGAAAATTCTATGATGCACAGTTCTATTTATTCTGAAACATGTTGGGGTCACCATGAGTCAATTCCAACTTGATGGCAAATGGTTTTATAAACTAGGTTAAGTCATTCAGAGCTTCTAGAAAATCTATCCACTAATAAAGACCTCCTCCTAGAATTCACCAATAGTGCCTCCTATTTGTCCTTATCACCATCCAAGTGTATTAAGGGCTGAGTGTGTATCTAGCAAAGTACTTGTCCTGAGACACACAGCCTTAGTGGTTCTGCCCTGAGGTGGCTCGCATGCTTCAGGGAATGTGGACTTCTAAATGAGCATTAACTCTCCACGGCTGTTCAGAGAAAGGAGGAAAGAGAAGCTTACAGAGGGGATGATATCTGATTCGGTTGTTATGCCTACCAAGCAGAGTAGGAAATGGTAACTAAGGAAGGAGCACAGCATTAACAAGGGACTAGAGGACTGGACAGGGAGTGTTGAAGGGACCCAGGGAGTTCCTCCTGGTTGGAGCATGAGGTAATACAAGACAGAGAGGTGGTGGGTGCTGCCAAGAGACGAGCTGAGGAGAAGCAGGGGTTGCTAAGGATCCTAGCCTTTATGTAGGGAGGACTTTGAAGGTTGTAGTCAGGTGAATAATATGATCAAATCTCTGTTTGTGAAAGATAACCAGTGGAAGGGATATAGGACCCTCAGTGTGGTTCTCCAGATTTTGAAGACTCCAAAACCTACGTGCTGAAAGCAACTTGAAAAACACCTGAGGGAAAATTACTTTTCAAAATAACAGCTTCTCTGATTCTCTTTCCCCAGGTAGTGATAAACTGTACCATCAGTGGCTCTCCACAGTCCGGGTAAGTATGCACCCCTTCTGAAGCACCTGGCCTCCTTGTAGCCTCCTGGCAGCCCTCGGCTTTCCGTGCCGCCCACAAGGCTGTCATTAGGCCTGGAGCACTCCATTCCCTCAGCTGAAGATGCTTTTGTTTTTAAAGCCAGACCATTCTCATGCCAGTTGGAGACTAACAGGATGAGACTGTCCAAAGACATCCCTTGGTGGGAGTGGAGAGGCAGGAGAAGCTTCCTCATCTTCAGGAAGCCAGCCAGGAATTGTTGAATGGGATGTTGTCTTAGAGCAATTCTGAGGTCTCCTTCTAGGACCAGTGCAACTATGCTGTTGTTAAGTGCCGTCTAGTCGGTTCTGACTCATAACGACCCTGTATAGGGTTTCCGAGGAGCAGTTGGTGAGTTTGAACCACCAACTTTGTGGTTCAAAGTCCAGTGCCAATCACACCAGTAGTCCAATTATAGTGATCATGGCCAATCAAGAATGTGTTTCTATTGTTGCTGTGCAGAATTTTTCACAGCAAAGGCTCTTGAAAAAATAGAGAACATTATCACTAAGTGATTTTTTTCCATCCCCTCACTAAGTTGTAAACAATTTCTTTTCTTTTCAACTTTTTATTATGAGTTGAGTGAAGAAAAGATCATCAGTTTTTTACATTTCATCTCAAGGATTAGAATTCCCTCAATACAGCAAGTTATCCCAATTCCTCCTGTGGTTCTTATTTCCATTCCTCCCTCCTTCCCATCTCCTTTCGACTTTTTCCTTAGGTCAGTGTTGCCCTTTTGATCTTGAATGATTGACCATTCCATGGTAGGCATACCTTACTAGTGTATACCTATATGCCTATCTGGTGTTGTTGTTGATTCCAACTCATAGCAACCCTGCATAGGGGTTCCGAGGTTTTTCATCTTCCAGAGAGCAGAAAACTTTATCTTTCTCCCATGAGCAGCTGGCAGGCTTGAACCGCAGACCTTGTGGTTCGCAGTCCAGTCTTATCATATGGAGTCACCTATCTATTGCTTGGCTGAAAATTGGGCCATGAGGGTGAGTCCCATTCTAGACCTGAAAGGTGGTCAAGAGCCATCATACTGGGCGTCTCCAGTTCCTTTGTGACCAGTAAGCCTGGTCTTTATATATAAATTTAGTTTTGGGGTTGTTCCACATTTTCTCCCACTCTATCAAATGTGATCCCTTTTGGAGAAGTTGGTAGTGGTGCCCAGGCACCATCTTGTTCTTCTGATCTTAGAGCCATGCCATGATAACAGATATTTACGTACTCCATTGGTCCATTGGACTAGTTGATTCCAGTTTCTTCAATTTTCACCATTCGTCTTTCTTTCACACAAAGAGAGACCAATAGTTGCACCTTAGATGGCTACTCATGACCTTTGAAGATCCCAGTCGCTAGTTACCAAAGTAGGTTTGTCTTTGTGGACTGTGTTATGCCAGTTGACTATGTGTCCCCTGAGACCATGGTCCTGAGTCCTCAGGCCCAGCAACTCATTGCCTTAAGATTGTAAATAATTTCTTGTGTCAGAAGCCAGGTGCTTAGGACTTCAGAAACCACTAAAGAATTGAAATTCTAGCCTTTCTTTTCCATGAGTTATCAGTGCATTGGTAGAGAAGGCCTAATGTGTTCTGGATAGCATGCTGGATGCTAGGGATACAGTGGGAAGTAGGACCCAGGCCTTGCCCTGAAGGGAGTGTCTCATCTTGTCAGGGAGGCTAGGATGTAAATAGGCAATTCCAGCATAATGTGATGTGTTCTCTCCCTCTTGTGGGTCAATGGCACCACTGCCAAGGTGGATCCCTTGGAAGTGTCTACAGTTGGCCAAGAATAAGCAATTCCCTGATGAAAGACTTCTTTTGTTCTTCTTGTATGGCCAAATACAGTACTTGGCAAATCATAGACAAGCAATAAGGACTTGTTGATTGATTAATAAAGGGAACTTAAATACTCTAAAGGACCATTTATATAGGATACTGAGTAATTTTGGAAAGCAGTATGGAATAAATGGGTAGGTGAAAATTTCAGATTGTCCTACCACATAGAATGTTTTCCAGGTCAAATTTTAATGTTTTTAATTAAAGCTCAAGCTTTTTAATGCAGGCAGTTAACCAAAAGTTGTTCCAAAATTTAAGCCAAATAATTACATTACTGTATCTTAGTCTCTTATATACCCATTGGTTCCAACCTTTCTCTATTTGAATCTGTTTTCTTTGTATCAGTTGGGATTATCTTTCCAAATCACCATAAATCTGACCATATGGCACATTTGATTTAACACCCTCAAAAATGTAGACCCGTCCCCTGGTATCTGTGGTCCCACATGAACTGACTCCATCTGACCTACACAACCTCCCATGTGAATTGCCTCCCATGAGACACTACTCAGGCCATTCTGAACCACTTGCTACACCCAGAACACACCATGTTTTTTCATCTTCTGCACATTTCTATGTGCTATTTCCTGTCCCTCGAATGTTCTCTCCCCACTCTGCCCTCCTACTTATCTTTTGTGATCTAAGTCAAATGTTTCATCATCTGAAACCCTCCAAACAGTGAGTTGTCTCTAGGAATGGGTCTTTATAGCTGTAATACCATTCATTACCTTATGTTGCAGTTACTCACTCTGGTGCACCCCCCTCATACCTCCTACTGCCACTGAACTGAAGATGTTCAAGGGAGAGACCAGGTCTCATTGGGCTTAGTACCTTCAGACCCTAATATGAGCACTCATGCAGTGAACCCTTACAAACTGTCTGGAAGACGAGAATAAAGAATAGATTCATGAACTATGGCCTTTGCAGTTCTTATCTGTTTATTGCTGCATTTATGTAGTAGGAACCCTTTCTTCCTCCTTTCACAAAGAAACCAGGCTGAGAAATTGGATCCTATGGATTTATAATAAAACCATAGTTAATGTTTATGGCTATTCATTCCTTCCTTAGGAGTCCTGGTGTGGCGCAAAGTTGGTTTGAACTGCAAGGCTGGTGGTTCAAACCAACTGCTCCTTGTAAACTCTATGTAGGGTTGCTATGAATCAGAACCAACAACAGTTCCTTCCTCTTGTTAAGGTCTAGATATTAAGAAAGGTAGCATACCAGAGTGATTTTTAGAAGCAGCTGCACACAATAGTCAAAAGGTAGAAGCATCCTAAGCATCTTAAAAACTCCCCAGCAGATGAATAGATAAATAAAATGTGCTACATAAATTTATTTATCCACTGGTAACCTAGTGGATTACAAGCTGCTAACCAAACAGTGAGTAGTTGGAATCTACCAGCTGCTCCGTGGGAGAAAGATGAGGCTTTCTGCTCCTATAAAGATTTACAGCTTCAGAAATCCTATCTCTATAGGCTGAACCAACTCAACAGCACACCACCACCACCACCACCACCACCACATACAATGGAATACTACGCAGCCAGTAGGAGAAATGAAGTCTTGATACATGCTATACTACAGGTGGAGCTTGAAGACATTATAGTGAACAAAATAAATCAGTCACAAAAGAATATTGTATGACCTCACTTATATATAAAGATTGTTATCTAAAAAGATAGGAAAAGGCAGCTAGAGAAAAAAAAAGTTTATTAGTGGTTCCCAGGGAAGGAGGGAGGGAGAGAGGAAAGGGGGGCTTAAGTGTGATAGAAAAATCACATTAATTAAGGGTAGGGCTGCAAAGCCAATTTTTGGAATTTCTGTCAATAAGTTGTATACCTATAAAAAGTTGAGTTAGCCCAAGTTGTGTGGTAGATAATATTGATACCAATGATACACACAAGAGTTGCTGCTGATGCTGCTATGTACAGCCTCATGGGATTTGGAGGTTTAGGGTCCTAGTTTCACGGGACAGCCCAGTTAGTTGGCCTAGTGACATGGTTAGTGCTTCTGTTTTACCTCCTAGCTTGTTGCGTAGTGCCTGGGGTCTTAAAAGCTTGCAACCAGCCATCCTTGGCACAGCCTGAAACAACAGAAGGAAAATGAAAGTCAGGAATAGAAGGAGTATGTAGAAGGTGTGGCAGCTGCCTCCTTTGTCATGAGACCAGAACAATTGGATGGTGCCTAGCTACCATTATTGAACATTTTGAGCAAAAAGTCCATAGAAGAATCCTAATAAAAAAAAGCAGGGGGGCGGGGAGTGGTAATCCAGAACATAATTTCAGATTTTCATTGACTCTGGAGTTTTTGGAGCCATAGAAGGTAGATGAATTCCTGAAACTATTGCCCTGAGATCATTTTTAAACCTTAAGCTAAAACCATCCTTGGAGTCTGCTTAAACCTGAGCATTGTTGTTGCTGTTGTTAAGTGCCATAGAGTCTATTCCAACCCATAGCGACCATGTATAGGGTTTCCAAGAAGGAGCTGGTGAGCTTGAAACACTGGCCTTGCAATTCAAACGACTTTGCAGTCTAACGCATTAGCCCACAGTGCCACACCCAGATAGTTTAGCATAATTAGCCAAAAAAAAAAAAAAGTCTGCCCTGAGCATTATGCTCTTTTAAGAACTATATGGGATCAAGCTGACAACAGCAACTTGAAAAATTAGAAACATAGAGGGCAGTGTATCCGTAGTAACTAGAATTTCTTGAGAATCTGTAGATTGCTATTGTGTAACCCTTACACCAGAGAGCCTGTGATAAGCTTTCCTTCCAGCCAGGTGACAGGTGCCAAGCAAAATACAGTCTGGAGTCTCTTCTCAGCTAGTTCTCACAAGGAATGGTTATCCATCCTCATCCCCAATCCATGCTACCCAGCCCTCAGACACCCACCCCTAACAATTCTGCCATAACCATAACAGTAACTGCCTGGGACCAGTTACCAGCTAGGCTTGTTTTTCTAATTAAATTACATGCTCTTGAAATATTGCTTAACTTGATTAAAGAGAAAAGCTCTTTGTTGGTGTTGGCCTACTATATCTTCAGTCCAAACGGCTAATTGACATTTTTATTATAGAAAGGAAGTGGAGCTATTCTGAATACCGTAAAAACGAAAGCAAATCCAGCCATGAAGACTGTCTATAAGTTTGTAAGTATTGGTCTTGGTGTCGGGACCCAAATAAATCTGTCCCTTGGCATCATGAGACTCTTAAATCCTCAGCTACCCAACCCCATACCACAGAGATAATTCAGGGCTGCTATGTTATATCCTAAAGCCCTCAGTGCTCTGAGAATTCTTCAGCCTTGATATTTTATGATCAGTTCAGCGACTTATTTAAGGTGCTGCTGCTAACAGTCGCTGTGATAGAGAAACAGAAGGCTACTGGTTTTAGCGTTCATTTAGACTGGGTGGTGGAAATTCAGGCTGCTCCATGCCTGCATCCCTGTGGTCTCACGGGTGTTCTGACAAACCTCTCTTAGTTGTAGCCCCATTATTATGTCAAATAAAGCATCTTCTTTGTAGGTTCCTGAAGCATGTTCATGGGGGCACATGCCCCATGATTTTTCTCCCCAGTTCTTCATCCTGTCTCTCATTACAGTCCTATAGGAAATGCATTGTTTGTGAAATCCACAGCAGAAGGAAAATAGAAGCACCTTAGTGCCTGATGCTCAAGCCTCAAGTATTTTCTGTGGCAATTTCTCTTGCTTACTAATTTGACCTCAAGCCACTTAAATGGGGTGATTTTGATTTATTTTCCATTTTTAAATTTTTGTTCATCCTTTCTGTTCTTGAATTGCAGTTACTTAAATGGCATGGGTGGCTGCCAATGGAACCACCTGGGTCTACAAGTGATATGAAATAAAAGCCAGGGCGTCTGCCAAAATGAGATCGAGGAAATGGTCCCAGAGAATCCCAGAGATGTGTCTGGTCAAGCCATTCAGCTTGAATAAACAGCTGGTCTTGTGGCCCTGACCTGGTGAAATGTGATGGCTATTCTGAGTCTTGTGGCCAGAAAAGACTGCTGCTCTCCTCTTATGGGTAGCTGTCACTAGGCTACTGAAGTAAATAATTATAGAGAGAAGAAGGGCTTTGGGAGGGGGAAAAAAAAAATCTGTGCCATCAAAATGCAGAAAATAAAATCTCTGCAGCCTCTTAGAGGGATTTTCTTTTTTAACCTTTTAGTGTTGTATTTGTTTTCATAGCCATTATGTTTTCAACTTGATGATCCCATTTTTTTTCTTCCTTTTTTTAGTAATCAGAGAAGGTGATTCGCAATGGACTGAAATCAAGCATAGTCCCTGCTGGAAACAGAAAGGGAATCTTAACTTAAATTAATTTTTCATGCAGGCAAAAGATCATGCAAAAATGGGAATAAAAGAGGTGAAAAACCGCTTGAAGCAAAAGGTACTTGAAGTTCTTATTCAAAATGTATAAGCACCGTGTATGGAATGCGTGGCCACAAAAAAGTATGATGTGATCAATAGAGGGCTGTTTGATACAGTGTTGTTAGCACACTTCAAAATGCATTACCAGCTGTCCGGGAGTTTTCACACTGTTATAAATATTCACAGACAAAAAACTGTCTTCAAATAACATTAAGACTCTGGTTTAAACCCACAAAGGCGAGCAAGTTCAGAGTTACCGTTATTGTCGCTATCAGCCTGTCCCTTGCCAGCCTCCCTGGACCAGGGGTTCAAGGGGTCTGTAGAAACTGGCTTGGCCTCCGCAACCTGGCAACACTCCCTTCTGCATCCGACCTCTGCCCCATGACTGGCTGAAACCAAAATCAAGAGGCATCCCCAGGGCAGTGACTCTGGCAGTTCCAGCATGCGCATGGCCTCCATGCCGCTATGCAGCACACAGAGGGGTGGATGGGAGGAAGAGGCTGTGGGTCTGCTCCCGGTGGTGCACTACAGAGAGAAGCTCAGCAGACGGTTTTGATTCACTGAACTTACACAGTGCAGTCTGAATTATGTCAGAAAGGGTATTTTTAAATATTAGGATGAATATATCATCATTATTATTGTTACTCCTCACTAAGCACTTTGACTTCTGGTGTAGCGCTGTAGGATAAGCACAGGACTGCAACGTTGGTTTGAATCCCAAGGTTGGCAGTTGGAACCCCTATACGGGTCACTATGATCTGGAATCAACTCTTCAGCACTTCACAACAACAACAAGCATTTACTCTGCCTTTCACATTTGATCCTTAGGATAACCCTGCGTGGTATTATTTCCATTTCATGCATAAGGATACAGTTCAGAGAGGTGAAGTAATTTGTCTGGGGTCACACTGTCAGAGTCTGGCAGAGCCAGGATTCCATCTACTTCCAGGCTCTGTGCTCTTTCACTACAATGTTTCGTACTACCTTCCTGAAACATGTTTCATTTTCCAAAAGATGTTTGGGGTCACTTACTTTATTATCCCTCCACCCCCAAGTGCACCAGTCTAATAAGGGCCTTTGTGTATCTTGGCAATATAAAAAAATTAAAAATGAAACCAGTTTTAATGTTAAGAAGTCAGAAAGACCTTCTAATTAACTTGAAATGGTCAAAGGAATTGATTCCTTTTAATTGGAAAATAATTTGCTCTGACTAAGCATTTAAATTCTGTGTTTCAGCTGAGAGGGAATTTTTAACAGCTGAGAGTCAAGTCCGGAAATAAAAAATCCTGTAACATCAGTCCAGGTGAACTTTAACTATCATCCTCTCCACTCCTCCCACCCCCAGAAATTGGCAGCTGGCCTCTTTGCTTGGATATCATTTAAGTCCCTTAATGGACTTTTTCATCTCCTATCCCAATCTCTTGTAGGTGAATTTGATTGCAAATATCAAATGGAGCTGTGGGGAAAGGGAAATTGTCCACCAAATGTCCCCTCCTACAAGATTCTCAGCTCTGGCTGGGATTAGAATATTACCTGTGGTAGCCACAAGACAGATACACCCTCATTCGTCAGACTTGCTGTCTGCAGACCATTAAGCAAGAGACATCTCCTTACCTTCCTACTCAGATATGTATTTGGCTTTAAGAAAATCTCCTTTTTACATGTGACATCTCTGCAAATAACCAGTTACGCTCAGAGTTTTTAATGTGGTTTACTCAAAAGTTCATTTGAACCATCCTTCCACGCTATCACCCTTTCCTTGCCTTGATAGTTTCTAAGGCAGCTTTTTTCGCCCTCCCCTTCTCCTCTTCTCCCTGCCAGTCTGTTCAGGAATAGCTTCAGGAGATAATCCTCTATAAAGAGTGTCAGTACATTTCAGGTGACACGAATGGTGAAGGCATTTTATAGAAATGTGGCTTGTCACCATTGGACTGTTGACAGATCTATTAGTGCACCCTTTTCAATTTTCACTTTTCCCCCCTTTGGTCTTACAGATTTCTGCAGGCTTGATATTTTGGAGTTGTTCTTGGAAGAGCTGTTTTGTCATTGAAGCTCTAGCATTGTTCAGTATGTACAGGACTTGGGTCTTTTGCAGTGCTCCTAGTTCCCTTTCTTCAGCTAATTTAAGATTTAGCTTCACCTGACCTCACTCACTACAGTAGAAAATATTTCCTTTGCTCTTTCGTCCCCCTCCCCTTCATATGATAACATATCTGTGTGGTTCCCCAGATGTGTCTAATGCAGACATCTCAAGTTTGGTTTCTGCTATGAAATTGAGGCAGTTCCCAACAATGATCCAATTTTCAAATGTACTGGCTTGCCCCCTGGTCCCCTCTAGCTCTGCATAGCAATGGTGACCTCACAGATATAATCAGGAACCTAATCCTTGCCCTTCTCGCTCTTGCCTTGGGTTTGAATTGCAAATAGAAACTGTGGTGCCGACCTGCAGAGAGGTCACTGGTGTGTGGAGGGCCCATTTCTAATATGATGAGCAGGGCCCCCGTATTCATCCCTTGTTCATTTGTGTTGCAGGTTTTCAAAGCATCTGAAATAGGAGCTTTCAGTGTATCCGTGTAACCACTGGCAAATAATTGTTAATGGATACTATAGTAGTGGCTTTATTCCAGACCTGCTCTACTTCAGCCCAATAGCAGGAGAAAAAAAAAAAAACAAAGAATGGATCATATCTTTCTCTGGACAAATGGAGCAAGATGGTCAAGTTCTTTTATAGCTTAGCTTCCTTTGAAGTCTAACTTGCTCAAAATTAGGAAGAAGAAGAAATGGCAAAATGCCATCTAACATCACTTTCTAAAGTAGAGAGTAGTTCTTTCCTTCAGAGCGCCTACCTGCCACACCTGGCCTGCAGAAGAATGCTGCATGGCTGGGCTTGTGATGCTCAATAAATTGCATTCCCGTTGCAGCATTATACAAAGCTGGCATCAGCGTGCCATTTTAAAAGTAGTGGTCATGCTCACACACATGCACACACATTCCTCCTCACCTGCAGGGAGCTTTAAGATAGTCACTCACGTAAGGGATATCATTTCTGACCTGCTGAGGAGACCCCTGTAATTTTTACATTTTTTTCTTCATTGTCAAAATGATTTTGTTAAATGGGCCCGCTTCCCAGCACTTTTTAAAGTTTCTAAATCTTAGATCTCAAAAAGACAAATTAAGCGTGTTGACTTAGAGTCCCTCTGTGATTGAAAGGAGCAAATTCACAGTTGGGTTAGCAAAAGCTTGAGTTTCTGGCCAGACATTTCCCAGTGTATTGAAGGGAGTGAGTAAGCATGTGTTGGGTGGAGAGATCTAGGTAGACTCTCACAGAACAGACATTTTCACACCTTATCACACAACTGTCAGCTCCCTGTCTCCAGACACATTAAAATACGTGTCAGCCTCAATCACAGAAATCCCAACTTTGGATACTATTTTGATATCAATATTCATATTTTCATTACATTTGCTGTGGTGTGAGGTAGACTAGGAAAAGAAGGACCCTGTAGGAATCTGAGAATGGAGACAGGTGGTTCTTCTTCCACAAGCAATCCAAGTCAAAGGTAATAAAGCCTCTGTCTCATACCCTTGGGGGGGTCTTTAAATTCTCCTCCCCCACTTCTGAAACATCTTGGTCTGGTATTTAGACTTCTGAAGCAGACAAACTGAGTTCAGTGCTAATTATATAGGATATAAGCTGTGTGACCTTGAGGAAGTTCTAAGCCTCTCTGAACCTGTTTTTCTTAACTATAGATTAAAGGAAATATTGATTTTACTGGATTGTTATGAAGATCATGGGTCTACACAACAATGCTTAGGAGCTACTTAGTAATTAGAGTTTCCATTCTCTCTGTTTTCTTACATCCCACATCTGGAACAGCAAGTCTGCCCAAGCATCCACATGCATGTATTACGAGAACATGATTGGCATGGAATCACCTCCCTTCAGGTTGTCCACAGCCACCAGAGCAATTTTTCTGGAACACTGCTCTGACTGGCCACTCCCTGGTTAAAGCCTTTCAAAAGTTCCCACTCCTTGGCAGGGCTACTTGCTTCAAGTCACTAGACCATCTGTCATTCCTAAACAGGCTCTGCCCTCTATCTCTTCCAAGAGGGAATGCTCTACTCTCACATCGCTGCCTAATAAAGTCCTATCTGCCACTCCTAAGTCCTGTCTCCACCCTAGCTCTTACCCAAAGCCACTCACAGCCTCTCTCTGATGACAGTAATCTCTTCCTCATCTGGTCTCCCAAGACCCTGGATTCCTTACTTCTCATGGACTTTCATATCTGAAGACTTAGATTCTGTGTCTGTCTTCTCCATAGAGGGGTAGAGGTTGGATCTCACTTATTTTTTATTCCAGTGCCTGAAATGTAGTAATCACTCAGGGAAGGTGGCAAGAATTGAATTGTTTTCTGACTCCTTTTACTTTCCTGAGGGATGGGAATTGATTGGACTTCAGAGCTCAGAGTCAAGCTGCAGGACTCCTGAGACAGATCTGCCAGCCTGATCTACAGCTTGGTCTAGTGTCTTCTTCCTGTGTGATGCTTTAAGAGAGGAACAAATTTACCCCTCCTGGCAACTTCATGGTTTTTCTTTTTTTAAATGACATTTAGAAGATGTGTTTTTGTTTTTCAGTTTTCATCCTATTTATACAGTAAATACATGTTTATTGAGGAAAATTCTGCATATGAGAAAGCAAAAAGAAATTATAGTTCTTTGAGCAATACAATGTTAGGGGAGCCTCTAAAAGCCTACTGTTGACTGGAAGCCTTACCAATAACATAGTCAATTAACATGTATTTTGTATATTACATATATTATACAAGTACACTACATCCATATAAAAGCTGCTTTTTCAATATGAGATAAAAAGGTATTTCACAAAAAAAGTTGCAAGAGTTTCACATCTGCTAGTTTAGCTACAGCAATAGCCTCATAAAATTTCCTTTTCCTTTTTTTTTACAACAGTCCTTCCACTGGACTCATTTATCTTGAAATGGTGGGCAGCTGCAGCTGCAG